GGCAGTTTTTAAGTTGTTCTTCCCGACTTGTATTCTTAGTTGTGCTTCTGAGATGAGATCACTCAGCTTTCTGCCAGTCTCTTTCTCAGCCCTGCAGAAAGTACTTGTCTCTCGCGTGTCCACTCTTCTCCCCATACATCAGTTTTGGGAGAAGGAAGAAAGCAAGGCTCATTCTCCTGGTCTCTGTGTCCCAACAGAGTACTCCTTGAAGAGGATCAAGGCCCCCTCAGGACTTCAATAGATGGGTAAAACGTGTTGTTTGAAAGGCAGTGGTTCCAGGAGGCACCAAAGTGGCCTTCAGAATCCAGTTTAGAAGTTACATGATATTTTTCCTCTCAAGCCCACAACATCCAGCTGGGCTTCTAATGTTAGCTAAAGGATTTCTACCTGGCTGTATCACCATTTTGGAATACCTTGGTAGTTGGCTGGGTTCTTTACTAGTCAAGATGTAACTGCAGTAATTGCAGCATCACAGTACTTTGTTATTTAAGAGGGATGCACTATGTGCACTTTCCAAGGTTGCATTAAGCCAAGTCCCTTTTCTCTAGTATCTATGACAAGAGTGTGTGGGCTGTCCTTTACAGAACAGACATGGGTATGTGTAGTTCTCCAAGTATGCTGCTGTAGAGTTTTTAATCTGGTTTTGGAGACAGTAGAATGAGATTTCCTTCTTGGCCAAAGTAGTGATTCAGACAACTGAGATGGGTAGTCAGTGTCATCGAGTGGGTTGCAAATGTTGGCGGATACTGGAGGGACAGAGGAGCACAAATTAGTGATGTGATTTCTGGCTTACAGAAGGAGGCTGGGTTTTGGAAGCAGTAAACCTGCAGAAAATTTAAGCCTAGTTTAGTCTGTGAATAAAAGAAAGGTGGCATTTGCCAGATAACTTAGCAAATACTTAAACAGATAAACATTTCTGTTAGAAAGATTAATAGTGAAGGGTTGATAAATACAAAACCAGTATCTGACCTGTAAGTAGAGGACAGGCAAAGCAAAGGAGCAGAGCTCATACTGGAAATTTATCTGAGAACCTCCTTGTCTTTGAATGCTTGATGAATTTTTGGTGATTATGGCTTTTTTTTCCTTGGGCCTCCATTAATATTTTTCATTAATTTGTGTTCAGGGCAACGTAACCCAAAGAAAGTACTATACTCTTATGCATGAGGAAACTCAGACTCAATTTACACATCTGCTGTTACAGTATCCACAGACCTTTTGCAAGGAAGGTGACTGTCAAATGCTACTGATTGAAATTTTCAAGCATTAGCCTTGTAAGATTCTTTTCCACACAATTTTGGCTCGTAACCTCCCCATGATGTTATTGTGCTTCAAATATATTCAAAAGTCTTATCTAAAGCTCTTAAATTTTAATAAAGATGTAGAGCTTTCACAGAAGGAAAACACATTCAGCACATTCCTCAGTTATTTTGTCTGCAATATTGGAAGTATTTTTAAAACAGCATGTGAGCCATGACATGAATTTAATGGCAAATTGGTTTTGCATCATATGTGGTCTCATCAGTATGGGAACAGAAGTAACACTGTTTGTTAGACTTGTCCTTTTGGCTCACTTCTAGCTCAGCTGATGATATTAATTATAGTCAGAGAATACTTACTAACATCTTTTAAAAATTATGTATTTGTTGCATAACATAATTTGACCTAATATATCCATCTAGTTAAAAATGCTACATGGGTGAAGCACGAGTGCTAAGATTAGGAAATACTCTGTTACGCTCAGAGAGGGCTTTCTGTAACAAAGTTGGGATGGGAAATCATTTCAGATAATGTTGTTAAGGCTTGATTTCTTTATAAAAGAAGCAGCCAGCCATAACAAATTATTTTCAAGTTCTATTGTTTTGGTATATACAATTGCAAGAAAGAAACAGAATGTTCTTTGTGTTTTTTCCATTTATGTTTAGCCTTGTAGGTTTACCGAGGTTGGCATTAAAGAACTACTTTTAACAGTTTTTGTGACCTGTTCTTGAACTAGATGCTTCTTACATACATTGTGGTGTGGCTGGCTTCAGACATGCTTTTCATCTTCTTTATGCTGTTTGTGAAGTATGCTGCACTTAGCTGACAGTATAATAAAAGCATTTTTGTGTGTGTATTTGTCCAAAGTTGCATTATTGCAGCTGTGCACTACCTGTTTTCTAGTAGCTGTAGCTGCTGTAGCTGCTGTGGCAGCATGTTCATCCATACATCCATCTAGTGTTCCTCAGAAGATTCAACTAAATAAGAATGCGTAGAGCTGAAAAAGATAAGCTGGCTTCTAACAAGGATCCTTTCTTCTTACTGAAGCAGTAATGTTTCTTTGAGGAATTTGACTATACCAAACCAACATCCTTCACTCATCTGGTGCTTGGGGAAGGGTGATTGGTGATCTCGGTCACTTCAAGTGGAAACACAACGTTTGCTTACTTTCTGCCATGATTCTCAAGATTTCCTAGACTTATTAAATTACCAGTCCAACCGTTTTTTGTTCTCAAGTAAAATGACCTTGCTGTCTGGAGAGACAGGAATGAATGTGGAAGCTGCAAAATGGCTTGTCTCATCTGGTGCTTGGGGAAGGGTGATTGGTGATCTCGGTCACTTCAAGTGGAAACACAACGTTTGCTTACTTTCTGCCATGATTCTCAAGATTTCCTAGACTTATTAAATTACCAGTCCAACCGTTTTTTGTTCTCAAGTAAAATGACCTTGCTGTCTGGAGAGACAGGAATGAATGTGGAAGCTGCAAAATGGCTTGTGCTTGTGAAGTGCTGGGAAAATTCAGATGCTGCCTGCCTCCCAGATGATTCAAGTTCTCCATAGCTACTGAATTTTGGAGACTTTATAGTCAGATTAATCAAAGTCCCCACTTTGATAATTGTCTCTTTTTTGAAAGGTAGTATCCTGAAGAATCAGGTACAGTATTAAATGCTTATGTCTTTATTTAGTTAAAATGCAGTGCAGAAGAGTGTGATTTTTTTTTCCTGAGTGCCCCAATCAGACAAGAAGAATGCAACAGTAGGTAGCTGTTCTCTATGTAATTCCTCCTCTGTAAACCAAAGCCTGAGGAGTCTGTTTCACAGAACAGTGTCCCATGTTCAGCTCAATGTAGGGCATTCTGATTCTGTAAGAACTGGAGGGACGGGGAGGTAGGATTCAGCTTCAGTTAAAGTCTGTGCCTAACCACTGGCAGGCAGTTTGTTCATCAGGAGAGGTGCTCCATCTTAATATGGAATAACACCATAACTTCAGGCAGAAGGTTTTGAGAGGAGCTCTAAAATTGTACTCTCTCCATTCCTGAACATTTGGCTTGGTGCTCTTTTCTGGATATAAGTCTAATTTTTCAAATTCCACGAAGTTCAGTGACCAGAATTGAAGTCTGCAAAATCACTAGTTACTATTAACATTCTTGCCCATTTACTATGCCTGACTTTATCTATATTGGCCTCACTGGCTTTAGTAATGCACTGTATCCAGTGGATATTTAATGTGAAATGCAGAAATAATCCATGGTATTAGGAAGCAAGACCAGGACAGCTTTATTTCCCACCCTCCGTCCCCTCCACCTTGTAGAAACTGCTTGCCACAAAGCTGCAGCTCATCCCGGTTAACATGCTCTACGTCCAGTGTAGTTACCACCAAGTCTCTCCCTATGCAGGATGCAGGTTTATCAAGAACGTGTGGAGGGTGTCCAAATGTCATGTGGCAGTGTGCTTAAAGCATTCTCCTGAAAGATGGGAGCTGAATGTTTGTGTTTTATAACCTAGGACCCTCCTGAGTGCTTTTAAAAAGGAAGGCCAAGTGAGGGAGACTCTATTCATATCCCACTCTTTGTAAAATTAATTCATTCTCAGAATTTTCACTCAATGTGGAAAGGACACATACAAAGGAGTGCCTTCCTCTGAACTCTGGTAATAGCTTTGAGCAATGGGAAGCTACTATTTAAACAATGAAATCTCCCACAACAAATGTATTTTAAGGGTTCATTAATCCTCTGGATTAAAGGAAAGGTTATTGTTATTGTTTAGGTCTTTGAAATACTAGAAAACCACCAGGCAGTTCTGTATATTAGATATCTGCAGCTATGGGGAGTACCAGGATGGACAGAGCAGTGAAGCGATGGATGTGATGACTGAGGAATGCCAACAGCATGTGTGCCCTCTGCCTCAGCTAAGCCTGGTTTTGTCTAGTGACGTCAGTACCTTTCAAATATAAAAATTCAACAGATTTTCCTACGTGTTTTTGGTTTTATTATTATTATTTTTCCAGGAAAAGGAAATAGAGCTACGTTCCAACATGCTACAGAAAATACTATGCAACCCAATGAAACCCAAGTCACTTGTAATAACATTTTTCGTATTTTTAAAAGCAGCATAAACGGTAATGAAGTCTTGGCATGCCAACCAACACGTTGCAATTATTGGCAGCCAAGGTGTTACAGATCTTCAGAAGTATGTCTGTGAAGTCCAGCAGACATAAATAGAGTACAGTGTGATCTCATATCATCATGCAAACAAATTTTCAATTCTGATTCTTCTCTCAGAAGTCCTTAAACAAGAATTTGAGAGGAAAATCAAAGAGATGAGAAAGAGCTTATTCCCTAAACATACTAACTGGAGTATTTAACCATAATTTAAGGTCTGAAGAAACTAATGAAAAAACAAGATCAAGCTTAACAACAAACATAGTGTCATACTGTGCGTTGCTGAGTGTTGGGCTCTCCAGTTCCCTTTAACAAAAACCATCAAATGTCTACCAGACTGGCATTTCTGCTGTGACATTCATCTGCAGTTCTCGTCCCTGTCTCCCTGTCCTTTTCGGAGAGCAGTATTACTGTACCTCTTCTGATCTGTCTGTTTGGTCTCCTGTCATTGCTATAAATGCTCATTATAAATACACTGTGCTGAGAAATTAGGTCATATGACAATCACTCTTTTTTGGTTACTGACAATTTACAACGTCGACAAAACATATTCTTTACTGTGCCTATTTTTCAACTTTGCTAGATTTCACAAGGAGCATCCCTAAACGATTTACGGAAGAAGAAGAGGCGTGCACCTCTTCCGCCAGCTGCATCTGCTCCACCCACTCCTGCCATGCCGAACAGGACAGAAGAGAGGGAAGACAAGAGGAAGAGCACAATGGGTGAGATGTGTTCTTTGCTCCTGTGTAATCTCGTGCATGTGCTCTCAGTGCTCACTGTTTGAAGTTTCCTTAATTCTGTTATGCTGTGAGTTTGGAAACTTTTATAACCGGGAGGAAAAAACGCATTTCTCTGCGGAATGAAAGTCTGGAAATAGGTGTTTGTATATTACCTCTTTTTTTAATGGCACCATTCATAGTACCACAGGGAAGTAAAGGTACATAACGCTCATCAGATAGTTTGAATGTTTGGTACAAGCTGGATATCCAAAAGCACTAGCCCTGGCCATGTTCTGCACCTTTAAGGTGACGGTGGTTTTGCTAGTAAATGGAAATGCGGAAACAGTAAATGGAAATGCTAGTAAATGGAGATGGGTCAGGCAATACTGAATGCATTTGAAGCCATGGGGTTCTGCTAGAACTGAAGTACAGTCAAGCTGGTTCAGTATCTCCTCACGTTCCTAAAGCCTGAAGACATTTTCTTTTCCTGTAGTCCTCCAACAGTTTGACATGAACTGACCACATTCAGTGAAGTTTTTCTTTTGAAATTAGTCCTCAGTTTTATTATAAATCAGTCTCTTCTGAGTCTTCAGCTAATCAGTATCAGAAAAGAACTGGTGCTCTCAAACGAATGCCGTACATAGCTGGAGACAGCAAAAGAAACCAGCCTTCAGCCATATGTGACACCACATTTACTCTCATACAGGAAGACTGAAAAATGTTCTCCCAGACCTCTGTCGTTATCTGACTGCTAGCTTATTCAAATCGTTGGGTGCTCTGCCCGAGTGAGGACCCCAAAATTATGCTTTTAGCAAACAAAGTGATTTTATGATGGGTAAAGATAGGCAATAATAACCCCACATATTGGAACTCATTTTTCAGTACATTAAGAGAATTATTCTTCAAGTGCCGTAATGCACTCACTGCACTTCATTCCTTTGACCTCATGTTTCATAAAGTGCCTAAGACATACAGATATGAGATCCTGTCATACATAATTGCTTACATTACAAGTGTCTCACAGTTTAGAAAGAAACCTCTTGGCTTTGTTCCAACATTTATTTTCAGTAAATGCTTCACATTTAATGCCTCAGCATTTATGTAGCAGCAGGAGTCCATTATCTTGTGACATGTTGGACTCCATTGACATCTCTTACTTAAACCCTTTAAGGGGAGCATTATCGCTGTGCCATGTAACACAGGAGTTTTCAGCAAATTGGCATGCTTTTAGCCATTGCAAATGTCACAGTCTGTCGCTCCTCATGCTTTGCACTGCTGCTGGTCACTTTTCAATGACATTTGGTGCTTTAACTTTTTGTAAGTGTTTGTACTATTCTATATCAGTGCTCAGAATGTTACAGATGAAATAAAGCAGAGCAGAGCCACTTCAGTCCGTTCAGTGCTGTGTACAGAAGTGCTTGCTGGCCAGACTGCTGATGTAGGATTCTGTAGTATCATTTACTTTAATGGAGCCTTATTAATTTTCACCAACAAAGAACGCGTCCCACAGTAGCCCTGTCTTCAGTGCTTTTCATTTTCTGCTACTTTCTTGAATGAATGCGTTCATTAACAGAAAAAATGTTACAGCAAGGGAAGGTTGGGAAAACAGCGTCTCTTCGGGACCCTTGCAAGAAAACGATGAGAAAGCACAGATGGCTCTGAAAGCAAGAGAGAAAAGCTGTGAAAAAAGCAAGACTGTAGTGAGGGGAAAAACGTGCTGCAAGAAATAGGCAGCCGCATGATGGAAAAAGGATTCAAGCTATCTGTGTATCTCCCAAGTTAGCCACATGAATCAAAGCAAAAGATCCTATCAGAAATATTCTCAAACTGGCAAATTAATTTCACTATTCAATACTGAATCACTTATTCTGACCCCAAAGTATTGTGCCCAGTTTTCTCAAAGCAGTAAAAAAGGGTCTGCACATTTGCCAGCATTAAATTGTGGCTCGAATCTCTGGAAGCTAGTGACTCCTAAGAAGAGAATCATAATGGTTTAATCTTTCTTCCTCCCTCTCGGTACTACTTCACTTCTCAGCAGCACAAGAGCATGAGCCTAAGAGTGTAGGAATGATCGGACCAGAGGTCCGTCTCTGCCAGCATCCATCTTCAGCAGTGACCACAGCAGATGCCTCAGGAGGAGAGCAGAACGAGCAGGTAGTCACAGTTCCTCAGAGCACTTTCAGCCTCTAAGGACTTTCCAAATTGCAATAGCTCTAGGGCTATACACTACAAACTGGCAGCAGCTTTTCAACATTGCAAGTGGTTAATAGAGTATAGTCCAAAGTCTAAAGGTGCATGTATTTGTTTAGTTGTTGTACATAGTACTGAAATAAGCTGCCAGCCAAAGTTATGAGCATTTCCTTTGATAGCTTAGAACACTGTTTTGCAAAAAATGACTTAATCATCTGCTTCTCCACAATGTCAAAATAGTAAAAAATCTAATCAGAAAAAGAAAACAAATCTGTTAAGATACCTACTTCAAAATACTTACCTGAGGCATTTTCCTCTTTCTCTCAAAGAGTCGGGAAAATAGTCACCTGAAGTATCCTAGAGGTCAACAAATTCAGGCAATTTGGCACTGAAGAAGATAAAAATGAAACACGTTTTTCACATTTCCTTACATAGCTTTTTTCAATATTTTTTTTAATTAAGCTTCTTTTTTTCTCCTTCCTTATGTCTGCCAAAATTGGTGATATTAATTGTTAGTTGTGATGTACATGTCTGTGCTGGGCCCAATTCTGGTCCCATTGCTGTTGCTATAAGAGAGACCTAGTTCTTCTTTTTCCCTTATTTCTTTTGGGGGCAAGTAAGAGCAGAATTGGATCCAGAGAGACTTTTGATGTGGGTAAGGGAAAATCAGTGCGTGTTTAAAAAAAAATAACAGAAACCAGAGTGATCATTACCTTGCAGTGAAGTAACAAGTTGGTTGATCCCCCTGTAGGTGATGGACGGCAGGTGCCACAGAAGCCTCCTAGAGGCACCACCACTCGTGGCCCACCCCAGTTAGTGATCCCCCCACCCCCACCTTACCCTCCACCTGACAGAGACATTATGGATCCATCAGTCTGTTACAGAGAAGCAGATGTTACAGCACCAACAGAGCTGGTACCTGAAAGTATGTTTGAAAAGATATGTATTTGCATTTCCACTCCTTTGATGGTTACTCTCAGGGGTAGCTTTTCCAGACTTTCCTCTCTGCTCTCTAGACATGCATGTCTGTTTTTTCCCCTCTTTTCTGGCCTGTTGTCTTTTAAAATGCCCAATGCAGTGTAACTAATTAATACAAAGTAAACAAAACACTTGTTTGGAGACAGTTTTGCCGATGATACCCGGCCATTGTGTGGAAGCATTTAAAAACAACCATCAAAGCTTGTGACTTAATGCGACTGGCAGCAAAGATCTGTTGTCTTGTATTAATTCTCCGTGTTTGTTTCTCTGTACTAACATTTTTTCTGTCTCTGCAGAGACAAGTTCTTAGGAGAGGCAATAGGTCTATGAGTCTAGGTTGAAAACTACAGGGTGTTTCCTTTAGGAAAACTAAACCATTTGCAGGAGCTGTGTGTTGGTAAAGGCCTTCCTGTCCTGATGGGTACATATTCCTTGCCATCTCTGGGTAGTCCGTTGTGTGCTTTTCCCCTTGGGGCATAACAGTTACCAGACAAAGAAATACGGTATTTTCCACATCCTTGTGTATTTGTGAAAATCATGTTTTCATGCTGCTTTTTCATGCTTATCCATCGACTGTCTTTAAATCTTTGTACACAATCCAAGTCTTTGATCATGTATTATGTTCCCTGTGGGCTTGCCCTGCACACCCATGTAGATCCTGTAAAGGCAGCAAAGCTCTACACATTATGGCATCTCATGGACACCCTTCCTTTGAAAGTTAGGAGGGTGTCTCCTAACCATGGGACAGAGAAATGTCTCCATGAGCTGCTAATTTGGCAGACCATCTTTTTCCAAGACGTTTGCTTTAACAGAAGCATTCTGCAGGTAGCAGTTACTCTGATACATTAATGTTGGTGTGTTTTCTGTTGGGTGCCAGCTAAACCTAAAGCATTATTTTTCAAATCTGTGCTGAGGAAATACAGATTGACAGGTTTTACTGGAGGGCGGAGAGAAGGAAATTAAGGAGATCCGTACTAACAGAAAACCTGAATCTTACTGAGAATTAATGCTAGTTCATTTTTACTAGCATATGCACAGAAATCACATCATATTTATAATCTTTTTTGTTTTTGCTAGATACCATCAGCTTGCCTACAATGTTTTCTTTATTAAAAATCCATTGTGGCCTTCTTTGTATTAATATTTCTTCTTTATTTGAGTTTCTATCACTGTTATTTTGCAATGCTTTCCTGATCTACCTTGGTGATCAAATACCCTTTAATCAATGCAGCTCTGATGTTATCAACCTGATCATTTGCTCTTAAACAAACACAGTATCCCAGCCAAAAGGATTTGATTAAGCTTGTACGTGGAAACATACGTGAGCTTTTATTATCGTCAGTTTACTGAGAGCAAAAGAACAGGGCTCAGTGAGTACTTACTTTAGACTTAAAGCATCAGTATTGGAGAGGGACAAGTTTAGCTTTATAATTATGCTGTGCTCTACCTAGATAAAGATACATGTGTAGATTTACACAAGAGAAATATGTATAGATGTACCTATGAGAGAAAACAGCAGATGTGACAGGTGCTAATTATATTGCCTAATGCCATTCTGAAAGGTGCTGAGATACAGTAGCGATAGAGCAGTAGAAGAACAGAGTTTTGCAATGATGTTTTTTATTGCCTGAGAATGCCTCAAGCAGTGCAAATAGGACTTTGGCGGTAGATTCAAAGAACAAAATTTCCAGTCTTCCTAACCTTAACCTCAGTAGGTGTGTTTTCTCATAGAACAAGGTGGGAAGGAGGATAAGCTACTGATGCCAACTATTGATGAAAGGTATATTTGTTCTGAAATCACTCTCAGAATAGCTTCCTCTGATGAGGATTGTGGTCTTCCTTTGCTGAGTGGGTGACTGTCACCAGCAGTTTGTCTTTCACAAGATGAGATCCCCATTCAGAAATCAAAATTCTGTGATTGTGTGGAGTTTAAATTCTTGTTCCTTACAACCTGCCACTGTCTGTGAGGCACTGCGCGTCACCCTTCAGTCCTTCCTAGCAAACACACAGTTGTCCCATTGTGCTCTGGGAAACCCGAGCTGAGGAATTTTTATTTCACAGAGGATGGTGGTGATCGCTCTTCACAGAGTTTTCCAAACTTACATTCATGAACAGGGCCTTAAGTAAGATACTTGGGCTTTTCTGACTCTAGTGGTAAGAATCTCTTCCACAAACAAAAGTACAGTTGTTCCGCACAGTTTTTGCTCTTTAGTCTTTTGTTCTCATTATATGACCTTTCCTCTTAACTTTTGGTCTGGTAGACCCTTAGCTGCATGTTGTATGCATGTCTAAAATGATTTGTTTATGAGATCCTTTCTACTTCCTTATGTTACTAATCAGATTGTTCATGGCCTGTGATTCTAAGATTGACTGTGCTTTGGGAATGCAGAAATGGAGATCGTCGCCTCTGTTGTATGGTGTATGGTTATGTCATAACTTACGAAGTTCCCCAATAAATCAGTCAATAGTAAGCTCTGTGCTGCTTACCTCAGATAAAGAATGCACGTATTGAAAGATTGCTGCACCTAGACAAGCAACTAGAACATGCTGCCTTGCAATGTTTTCAGCTAGCTCATTAGAATAAATGCAGTATTCCTGAGAACCTCCATGACTAGCCCTCTGTTTGGCTTTTTATAGCTATCATTAAGAAACGCAATAAGAAATGAAAAGCTGTTTGAAAAAGAATAAACAGTTCACCTTCTTGTAGAGTGAGACCTTGAAGTTAAACTCTTCACTCTGACACTGGATAAAGTACTAGTGAACTCGGGGTTCGCACTGAGTAAGAGTTTGATAACTGACTGATTTTTAAATTTCAGCAAGTGTTCTGTCTTTAAAGAATTGAAATCATGATTTGAATGTGTCTTTGTTTTTAACTATAGATCAAATAATCAATCATCACTTAACCAGAAAGTTTGAAGGGGATGAAGGAGTGGGTATAGGCGTTTCCCGGTTGTTTTGTGTAGATGACGTGTATACTACTAGTTGATGGATAATACCAGATTAATTTTAAGAACAAGGAGAATGGAGAAGAGCCTTGTCCCTATATCTAACTTTTAATGATTTTCATTATATCTTTGATACATTAATATGTAATACAAGCCACTTGACAAAAGCTGTGACAGTTTCACAATTAGGTCATATTTCATCAGTCACCTTAGCTATACGTCTGGTCATTCACAGTCATTAGGGATAGTCTCTAAGGGTTGGACTTTGTTAACTTGAAGCCAAAACAGGTAGAGAAACTTGGAGACAAAACTGTGTTTTCTTACATGTGGTTCTAAATTAGTTGAGAACTGCAGGCTGCTGAGTAGGGAGGTTTGCTGGCCTGTCATAGTGCCTTGTGTCGTAAAGCATCTGTCAAAGTGACCCAGCCTTCTCTTTCTTGGAGATGGTCTGTAAAGCAGGAGAACTTGCAAGTGTGAGTTAGGAGGCTTAAAGCGCCATCACTCCTCTTATTCATCCAGCTTGACCTGAGGCTAAAGAGTTATGTTGAATGTCCAACATCATATATCTTGTGTCTTCTGGAGAATTAAAATTCAGGCCAAGTAAAGCAGAATTCGTAGACATGCTGTGTATCGGGAGGTGGTCTGCTGTTGGGGTTGAGTTAGCTCATACATGAACCCAGGGAGTTAGTCTGAGAGCGTCTGTGGGATTTCGAATTTTGATACAAGTGCCCATGCACCTACACCTCCGTTGGGCATCAGATTCTTTAATGTTACTGAGCATGCTAGCCATTCTGCTGTCTGACCTAAACAATGTGTATAATTTTATCCTTTTACTCTTTTCCCCCAACAGTTTACTGTTGTGCATCATTCCCTTCATATACCAAGCGTGTCTGACAGACCTTGCCTCTTCCTATGACCTTCATACCTCTGAACCTCCTGTTGCCTCTGCTGCCCTGGTTCTTCTGTTGCCTTCCTTCCTCCCCTGCTGGAAAAGAACTTTTTCTCTGACTGAGATTTTGGCTTCCTTTCTTTTTGAACTTGCACATTCTCTTTTAATTACTCTTGATTATTTTTGGCTGTGGTTCATACTCATTTGTGAGATGTATGCTCCAGAACTGAATGCTGTGTTATATAAATCTGAACATCACCCTCAGAAGGATTATCCATACATTTGTCTGTTCTTTTTCAAAAGACTTTTTATTTTCAGCCATGGTTTAATTTGATTTGGTGTTTCAAAGAGTGTGTTTTTGGGACGGTGTGTCTTACTTTCAATACGGTCTAAAGATTTAATGAAAACTTCTTAAAAACATTTTTTGGTTTGATTTTTTTTTTTTCTGTTTGCCGAGGTATAACATTTTGCATTCTCTAGTACATTATATTTTTCCTTCATTGCATATGTTTTGTTCATTTGGAACAAAACTGGAACTGGGCATGGCCTAGTCAGGTTGAAGTGCAGGATTCTTTCTATATCTTGGCTATCAATCAAGCGGCTGAGGAAAAGAGAAACAGAAAGTTCTGTTGGGGCTGTAAGGGGCCTAAAAGGAATGCTGAGAACCAGTACCAAATGCACTGATTCACAGGCTTTACTTCTGCTTTCATCCTGATGCTTAGTATGAGTAATTTTATCTTGATGCTGGAGAGATCCTATGGAAATCAAGGTGTGTGTTCTGTTTCTGTAGCAAAAGATGCAAACACTGTTTGCTCAAGGTAAATCTTGTTCCACAAGTCTCCTTTTTACAGTTGTACTGGGAATAGTCAGTGAGTTATAATTAAAATATCAGCTATAGGATTCTACTTACTAAAGCTGCTTTGCGCTGAAGAAAGTTCTTCAAGTGAACGGCCCATAAGGCATGTATTTTTAATCGTTCAGAACTATAAACATAGGCTTTATGGATTGTGATGGTGCACACACCCAGAACTATTCTGACCTCACATGTACTGTGATTCAAGACATTTATGTTATTTAAATGAGTTGCAATACATAACTCTAATTTAAATGATG